ATAAGTCCAAAAGGTACATGTGTTTAGAGTTTAGGGCTATGAGCCAAACAGATAGGATATATCATGGCCTTGCCACTAGCTATGTGGCCTTGAGCATACTTCACCTCTGTACTTCAGTTTTCTCATATGTAATGTAAATATTACTTGTTAAGGATTAAAATATGTAAGCAAAGATGTAAACAAACATAACACTATACGATAAGGAACTTCACTCTTGAGATGGGAACCACTAAAACTTGTATGTGGGAATAACAGAACCAGAGAATCTGAGTTACAAGGGGCCTTGGAGATTAAACAGTCTATCCTCTAATATGTGTGTGTGTCCTCCATTTTTTCACATTTTTTTTTTAATGTCTATTTATTTTTTGAGAGAGAGTGAGAGGACGAAAGGGACAGGGGCAGAGAGAGGGGGACAGACAGGATCTGACGTGGGCTCTGCACTGTCAGCAGAGAGCCCGATGCGGGCTGGAACTCCTGAAAGGCGAGATCATGACCTGAGCCGAAGTTAAGACGCTTAACTGAGCCACCCAGGTGCCCCATTTTTTGACATTTCTATTCCACTCTATTATTAGAAAGTTCTAATCCAAAGTCTACGTCTGTAAGATAGAGGAGTCTATTTTCTTTTCTGCAAAATAGCCTTTCTAATAGTCAAAGAAAGCTAAAAGGTCTCCCGTTACTCTCTTTTCTCTAGGCTAACAGCTTCTTGTAAAATGAAATGTTTAGACTCCAAAGGCTTGCTATCCTCTTCTGGGTACCTTCCTTATAGAGAACTGAGAAGAAGGAAAAAAAAGGCCCTATTCTACAGAATTAACTGAACAAAGACCTATAATCTATAAGATCATACTTGTCCTCAAAGAGATCACATTCCAACTGAAAAAGCAGACAAGTAAACAAACAAGTGCTATGGTAGAAGTAAAAATTGTCTGCCACTGGACTAACAGCAACTAACCAGGTACTCTGTGAGGGTAGTTATGAATGTGTGTTGGTGGCTGTTTAGAGAAGGCTTTTTGGAAGAAATAACACTGCAACTGAGTTTCAAAGAACTAGTAGGTTTTAGCCAAGTAAATAAGACAGGCTATCACAACAGCTACCTATTCAAATGCTCCCTCTTCAAGGTTCTCCTCTTCTAAAGCTTTGTATGAGGATAATGAACACAATGTATAATACGTAGAGAAGCAGTTTATAAAATCTGCAAAAATGAAATCTCGTACGGCCAATTTCTTGCATCGACTTTAGAATGTTCTGTTAATTCATGGTTATGAGAAAGCATTTTTTTGTTGTTGTTTATTTACTTTTGAGAGACCGAGAGACAGACAGACAGACAGACAGACAGACAGGCATGAGTGGAGGAGGGGCAGAGACAGAGGGAGACACAGAACCCATGAGATCATGACCTGAGCCGAAGCTGGACGCTCAACCGACTGAGCCACCCAGGCGTCCCTTGAGAAGGCATTTCTTACTGAAGATTGGACAAGAAAAGACGTATAGGCAAGTAGGTTAAAAATAAGCTTTTTAGAGTAGACAAACCTGGGTTCAAATATAAGCTCTACACCTTTCTAGCTATTCAATGATTCAACCCAATACTTATTAAAGGACTATTCTGTTACAGATACTCTGCTAATTGCTGGAAATACACAGTATCAGTATTTTAGAAGCAAATGTACTCTGCCATTCCTTAACAAGGATTCCTCTGTCATTCAATTCCTAACATAAATCCTAAAACTACTGACAGATTTCAAGAGTGTTTTCCTCATAGACATGTAGCTGGCAGAACTGTTTTGTTATGAAAATAATTATCCTGACATGTTCTTGTCCATAAAGGACCAGATATACCTGCAGGCAAGGCCAAGACTTTCCTCAGAAAGCACTGGCTATGAGTTATCAAGCACATTATTTATTTTATCTTCACAATAACCTCATCTGGTAGATGGTTAGAGTAATGGCCTCTAATGAATCATACTCCCATCTGCCCATGCCCCTTTGCAATGTAACTTGGCTACTCCTCCCATAAAGAGGTAGACTCCATCTCTCCTTCCCTTGAATCTGGGAGGGTCATGTGACTTACTTTGACCTGTTTTAGAGAACTGACATTATGAGATTTCCAAGGCTCGCCTTAAGAAGTCTAGCAACTACCACTCTCACCCTTCTGGAACACTCCCATGGCTCTGTAAGGAACCACTGAATGAGAGACCACATGGAGAAACACAGTCAGCCAACAGCCTGATATATATGAGTATATTTTAATTCCACCAGCCCCAACTGAGCTGCCAGCTGACTCTGCACCTGCATGAGTAAGCCTAGATCTGAACCAGCAAAACAATCCAGTCAACCCAGAGAATCCTGAAAAATAAGAACTGTTTCACACCACTAAGTTTTTGGTTTGTTACATAGTAATAAACAACTAAAGTACCCTATAAGATAGGTACTACTGTTTATCCCCAATTCAGAGCTGAGGAAGTAGATTCTTAGGTTAAGTTTCAGAATCCTGCGAATACTTGAAAAACGGTATGTCTTCCGATAAATAATGTACTTCGTGTTCTTCAACATAACAAAAAAGAAAGCAAGCATGAGGGGAAATATAAGCTGAGCATGGTGAAAAATATATGCTTATTTGACTTTCACTCAAATCTGTGAAAACTGCAAGTGAAAAGGATTAAGCCAGGAAGACACATTCAACTTATTTACAACTCATGGAATAAGTCAATATATGTATTGACTAACTGCTTTATAATAATAATAGTACCAATGACAATCTTGTGGCACTAGGCATCAGATACTGCTCTAAGTGGACGTGTGATATAAGTGTATATACATATACATACTCATTTTGTCCTCAGACAAGAATAAGTCATATTATCCTCATTTTCATGAGGAGGAAACTGCGGTACATAGTAGTTAAACCCAAGATACATAGCTAAATTTCCCACTGATAAAACTAGATTACATATGCCACCAGAGAAAAGACAGCAGAACCTACATAAAGCACAGTCAAGGTTTCAACGGCCAGGTTAGAGCAGGTGTATCCCGTTAATATAGATCAATGTGATCTCAGCTGTCAGAATGTAAATATTACCATTAACTTGAGACTCAAACTTTTTTTTTTTAATTTTTTTTTTTAACGTTTATTTTTTCTTTTTTTGGGACAGAGAGACAGGGCATGAACGGGGGAGGGGCAGAGAGAGGGAGACACAGAATCAGAAACAGGCTCCAGGCTCTGAGCCATCAGCCCAGAGCCCGACGCGGGGCTCGAACTCACGGACCGCGAGATCGTGACCTGGCTGAAGTCGGACGCTTAACCGACTGCGCCACTCAGGCGCCCCGAGACTCAAACTTTAAACAGAATGCAAGTTCATTAGAAAAGAACGGTGCTACATAATCTACAAAGAGAAAAGGGGCAATATCTATCTATCTATCTATCTATCTATCTATCTATCTATCTAAAGAGAAAAAGTACAATATCTACCTACCTACCTAAGATTAACACTACTGAATAACTGCTTCATGACAGGCACATGTCACAAATTTTAACGTGGAGTGGACCTAAACCTTCAACATAAAGTCCAAGAAATTCCTAAGTAATTCACATTTCTGCAAACATCACGAATCTAGACATCCTGACCGACGTAGTGAGGACTTTCCTATGTGGCCCTGTTCAGAGTTGGTGGTGCAGAGAACCCAAAACACAAGGACTCACAGAAGATGGTCCAAGTGGTTCTGATCATGATAGCGGCCATACCTTCTCAGCTCCCGTCAGCCTCAAGAAGCCATCTCCTAGAAAACTCTTCATCAAAATCCCAGAATATAATTTTCTCTCAATCAAAAAAGAAAAAAAAAAGGGGGGGGGGGTCCAAAGAGAGACCAGAATTTGGTGTGATAGGCCAGCAGCAATGGAAAGAGGCACCAGGGAAGGCTAAGAAGGCCGTGAGAGCAGTCGTCTCTCATACCGTGCTTCTTAAGAAACTGGTAAGGAAGCTATCAAAGATAGAATATGTTGACAGTCACCCCAGGTCTGTTGCCCCAAGGGTTCCCTGCACCAGCTTTCTGCTGCTCCTAATATCTGCGTCCGCAGACGACCTCAGGCCCGCCCCCTTGGTCGTCAGGCCGGCTCCTGGCCTCACATCCCAAAGCCGCCATCAACCCAAGGAGAACAGGTCTGTGGGTTCCCTCTCCACCTCCCAGGCCCCTG